CCCTCGGATGGAGCTCATCCGGGCCTGCCGACTTAAAGGCATCCAGTTCTTCCAAATGACTCTGCACCATCTCAGGGTCTACGCGTGGTAGTCTGGCGCCTTGCTGCTGCCTCTCTACAACCCCAGTGAGAGACTTGTCATGCCTCTCGCTTAGGAACACTGAGGCAAAGAACTCGTTGAGGAGTTCAGCCTTGTCCCCTCTGTCTGTCACCAATTGTTTCTGCCTATTTAGCAGGGGTCCTATTCCTCCCATGCATGTGATAGGTTTGAGGAACAAAGCAATATTCTGACAGGACAGAACAAGGACAGGATGAACGTCACAGGGAAACCAATTAACAATGCCCGGGAATGAAGAGTCATCAGAGGGAGAGAAAGGATACAAAGGAGGGATTTCATAGCAGCAAACGGACCCCAAAAGGGGAACCCAAGGCCACCATGGACAGAAGACACACCACCAGCCCATATCATCCATTCTACTGACATCCCACTCACATACTGGCCAGATGCACCTTCCCTCTGAGACAGCCCTAGGACTGGTAGGTGTAAAATTTGGGAGATTATTTTGTGTATTATTCCCATCTGCTATCATTGTATATCAAAATTCACCTGTTATCAAATGGAAAAGTCATGGTCAGTCTGAGGGTTTGGGTCTGCCCAGAACAAGGTACCTGGGTCATAAATTCAGTGCCAACAGTCACCAGTGGGGTGTCCCTGAGGGGTTGGTCTCTTGTTCATCACTTTTAGGGACCATATTACTAGTGGTGGAAGCATCATGGAATTTACAGATACATTTAGATAATGTTATGGAATGGAGCATTAGAAATGGTATGAAGTTTAACATGGGATTTGGTTACAAGATGGAGTGCACAGACTGGGGACATCTGAGGAAAAGAAGAATTTGGGTGAGTTGGCTCATCATAGGATGACAGTGAGCCGCCAGTATGATGCAGTTGTGAAAAAGCTAATGCAGTTCTAGGGTTTATTAGATGAGGTTATATCCAACAGACATAAGGAAGTACTGGTTCTAGTGTCTGAGGTATCGGTAAGACTCCATTTAAAATCATATGTGCAGTTCTGGCTACCAGTTTTCCAGAAAGAACAGCTTCACTTGGAACAGTACAAAGAAGGGCTGCTAGGGTGATTAAGGAAATAGAGATCTTTTCTATGAGGAAAATTAAAGGAGCTTGGCTAGTTTAACTTCACAGAAGAGAAAGTTAGAGGTCAAGATTATCTTTTACAAATACATTTGGGTACTGAATATTTGGGAGGGAGAAGAGCTTTTTAGGCTGAAAAACAGCACTGGTGCAAAATTAAATACCATGAGATAAAATAAAGAAACAGTCCTGGTTGAAGAAACCAGAACCCAGGACTTCCTCTCCCAGAAGTTTGCCTTAAACACTAGCTTCTTCATTGCCCAATGAATCTTGAATTCTTTTTTTGGAATGGCAAAAACTTCAACATTAGGGGCCTGAGAGAGAACCCAACAAGATTAGCTCAGCCTGGTGGCAAGTGTGCTTTCCTAGGAAGTGAATGATGCAGGGTTACAATCCCTAAGGCTGAGGAAGGAACTGAATCTAGAAGTCTCATCTCCTGGCCATCTGCTTTAGCTGTTAGGCTGTTGTATATAAAAGCTGGGCACCACTAGCATCCCCCCATCTCTGTTTCAAATGAAAGTAGTTAGGTCTACAAGCAATGGAAAAATGAACCTAATCAGTAAGAAGAACATTTTTCTCTAGTCCAAAAATGTAGGAATGAAGCAGTTAGGAAGTCCTAGGTTTACAGGAAATGTCCACTTATGGATTAGAAATAGACTTAAAGATAGAAATCAAAGAGTGAGTATAAATAGTCAGTTTTCAGGATGGGAAGAAATAAACAGCAGAGCCGACCCAAGCAGGGTGAGGGGCCCAGGGCAAATCAGCCCATGCGGGGCTCTGCACCCACTCCGATCCCACATGCCTCAGACCCAAAGAAGCTGCTGCTGCTGCTGCCATCAGAGAGGTAGCGAGTGGCTGGATGCAAAGCTGGCGGTGCGGAGTTGCCACAGCTGCTCCGCCCAGCTCCACAGAGCCCCCCAAAGTGTGGGGCCCCGGGCAGTCACCCCAATTCGCTCCCCTTAAGGGTGGCCCTGCCCCCAGGGATCTGTGTTGGGACCAGTGCTGTTTAATATACTCATAAATCTAGAAAAGGAGGTGGGTAGTAAGGTGGCCAAATTTGCAGATGACACAAAGTTATTCAGAATGGAAAAGAACAAGGACTGTGAGGAACTACAGAAGGAGCTGGCACTACTGAGCAAATGGGCAACTAAACAGCAGATGAAATTCAATGTGGATAAGTATAAAGTGATGCACATGGGCAAAAATAACTCATAGTGTAGTAAGTCTACTATGATGCTGCTACTATATCAGCTGTTACCACACAGGAAAGATTTGGGAGTCGTTGTGGACAGTTTGTGAAAAACATCAGCTCAGTGCTCAGCAGCCATCAAAGAGGCAAACAAAATGTTATGGATTATTAAGGGAATTGTAAACAAACCTGAAAGTATCATTATGCCCTTTACAAATCCATAGTGTATTCACACCTTCAATATGGTACCCAGTTCTGGTCCCCACACCTCAAAAGTATATAGAAGAACTCAAGAAGGTACAGAGAAGGGCAACAAGGATGATTAGTGGTTTGGAGGGGTTTCCATGTGAAGAGAGACTGAGGCTAGGTCTATTCAGTTTAGAAGAGATGCTTGAGGAGGGGAAATGATAAGGGTTTACAAAATACTAAATGACAGAAAGTAAAAAGGGATTTATTATTTACTCACACAAACTAGGGGTCACATAATGAAATCAGTAGGTAGTAAATTTAAAACTAACAAGGAAGTTCTTTTTCACAGTGTACAATTACAGCATAGAGCACATTGCCATCAGCTGTGGAAGCCAGATTCAAAAAGGGATTGGACAAATTCTTTGAGCAAAGGGGTATCAGTAGCGACGGAGCACAGAAGTTAGGCTAAATAGCCTCTGAATCAGAACTTCCTGGACCTTAAATGTTGGAGGCTGCAAGTGGGAGAGGAACAGGGAAAAAATACTGGTTATAACCCTGTTCACTCTCCCTTTCAGCATCCACACTGCCACTGTGTCACAGGATACTGGGCAAGATGGGCCTATGGTCTGACCCAGTAAATGACAGTTCTTGTGCATTTGTGGTTTGCATAGATTTTGTAAGGAGTTGGTATGTTAGGCATACCTTGAGCAGGCCTATCAGGTCAGCCCATCAAGAATTTTAGGCGCAGGACCAAGGCTAAGCTAGCCATTGAGTCCTTTCCAACTGGGTCAGTTCTGGGCATGTGCAATGGTGCAACTTCAGGTTTCCAAGGAACCTAAAGTCAAACAATGATGTGGCTCTCTAGTTAAGGCATCTCTCAGGTTAAGCAGCACCTAATTAAGGGTTTTTAGGATTCAAATTTTGATTTAGCTGCCTAGATTCCAAATCAGTTATGTTAGGTGCCCGTGTGTGCTACCGGCTCTCTTCCTAAATCTGTTCATGTTAAAAGTGAAAAGGATTTTTCCATTGCTGCCATCCTATCCAACTGAACCTGGGATCTGACGGATAAGCTGGGTTTCTTCTGGCTGAAATAACAAATATGCTGTAAGAAAAGCAAAGTTTACAGTTCTTTTGATGCATGAGGGAGAAAACAATCTTGTTCACTTTCCCAGAGCTTTGCCAAACCAGAATTCAATTTTCAGTTGTTAGAATAATCCTAAATCTTTCACCATACCTGTCACAGAAGTAGGAAGGGTGTTGGACTTTTTCAGCTGCTCTCTGCGTTCTAGCCGTGACACAGCAGTCTCAATTTTCTTCTCCCCTTCCTGAGGTGTGGATTTCTGCAATGCACTTGTTCTGATGCTATTGCTGCTTTTATCATCTGACGGATTGCTGATACCAGCCTAGAATGGAAAAGGATAATGGTTAAATTAGAATCAGTCCCTTATGTTGCCTTGTATACACGACAGGAAATATGTTAGACCTGAAGCTACCTGCCTGTTTGTTTGACCTTTGAAAAATTTTGCTACATATAATCCTCTTTTGGTTGCACAGACAAGAATGGCTTTAAAGCCAAAATCTTCCCTTAGAAGGAAGAAAGGTTCTCACTGGCTTTTCTAGGGATTTGTCATATATCTACTGGGCCTTAGCAACAGCCATCCCCCAAATTAGCGCACATATTTTATAAGAACTGATGCCACAAAACCCGCAAAATGTGAGTGAAATTTATGGAGTCCTACAGTTTAAATTGAAATCCAAGGAAACTGCTCTGAAGACTTGCACATTTTACACTTGAAATCTCTTTGTAAAATTCCTGTTTCACAAAACCCCAAATTTCTACCAAGTTTTTTCCTAATTGCCAGCCTATCAAACTGAACCTGGGATCTAAACTCATTAGAATCTTACAAGCTGAGCAGAGATTCAAATAAATAAAAATGCTAGAGAAATAACACCCGAGTTTCTGTTTAACGTTTTTAAAGATTCTATATCAGTTTACATTTTCTTTAGCAAGCTTCTCAGCCTGCTTTGCCTCTCTCGCTTGTCTCCTCTCCTCTCTGGTAGCTTGCTGCTCACGAAATCCCTTTTGCTTCTGTAGTGCCAATGTAATCCAAAGCGGCTGTGCAGTTTCAACCTTTTCCATCAGTTTGGAGCCATCTAAGGAGTGCCTGCTCTGGAGAACTGGCTTTTCTGTAAGAATAAATATAAAAGGGTTAGATGAGTGGAATATAAAAGATGTTTATTTTGTGTTAGCCAGGATATTAAAATCTGTCTATGTACACTGAAAACATTAATGTATTGACCCCTGTGTCTTTCACAGCCTTTCAAGCACACCATGCCACATTCTGAAGCAGTTTTTTTTTACTCTGTATAACAAACATAAGAAACAAACAATATAACTTAACAAGTATGCTAACATTATACATATCTGTCCAACGTTATTCCTGGTGTATCACTTCAATGGGCTTATCCCAAGCCACTCTAATGGGTTTATTCCAAGCTTTATCCTAATTTCACATATATGGATGCAATTACTCTCTTAGGTCCTTTTGTTGGGGGTAGCCCACATGCTTAGTTCTGTCCTCTGCAGAAAGAGGTTGCAACCACTGGATGTTCCTGTTTCCTGTTCTTTTTGCCATGTCATTTTTTGCTGCTACCTATTGCTCCCTTTAGACCAGGAATATCTAGGCACTGCACAGGAAAGGGCTAGACTGACAATCTATCATAAATACAACTTCTAAAAAATGGGACTACCAAGTGACAGACCACAAAGAGACTTGAGGTCACAACATGCTCCAAAGAGTTCCATCTGAGAGGCTTTGAAATGGAAATCAGATGCTGGAAACTAGTGTCTGCAGGCTGCACTTCTAGATTAAAGAAAAAGATAGCAGCTGGTCCTGCACAACTCTGTGGGGCAGATTTGGACACCCTAATGTTTGTCCTCTTTGGAAAATGGGGCATGGATTTTGCACTGTATGTTTGCTTCTCAACCTGTATTGAGCTCTGTGTTGACACAGCTGGACTGCTTCCAATACCATGCCTCACCCTTTTAAAGCTAACTTGTTTATCTCTGTGCTAACATACAAATTGCAGCACAGGCACGCCTACTGTCTCATTTCCAGAGACCGATCTAGAGTTTACACTGCTTAGAACTGCACCGATTTCCAACCCACAGCATGGCTGCAGCTATCCTCAGGTTCTTTACAATTAACATTGATGGCATTTAAACGTCAGCATTTATTTTCTTATATGGTTATTATTCATATTGAAGGGGTATTATTAAGTATAATCAGAGAAAAGTAGGCCTGGAGTTTTAGGCTGGACATCCCTGACTAAACCATCAGGGATGATCCTGCCTTAAGGAGGGGGTTGAACAAGATGACCTTCCATGGTCTCTTCCAACCCTACTTTTCTATGATTCTACAACTCTTCAATATAAACAATAATAGTTGTTTAAAGTCTGGAAGTCTTAATAGTTCAGAGGTGAAGTTCCAGCAATAGATTGGATTCTGCCTTTCCTACCCGACAACTCTGAGGGTCTTACACAGTGGCCGCATCTACATGAGACATTTACTGTGAAGCTGCCTAATTAGCTCTGCAGTAAAGTTTCTGCATCTGCACATGTGGTGCTATTAGGCCACGGCAAACTAATTAACTCCATCATAGATTAGTACTTGTAAATACAAGTACTATCCTATGGTGGTGTTCTCTGGAGTACAGCAATGCATGTGTAGATGCTGATGGAGCTGGCCAGGGCATGAGGGTGGTTCAGTGTAGGGGCTGCCTGCTGACAAGCCCTGAACAGGAACACCCTTGTGCCCCAGCCAGCCCCTCCACAGCATGTTGAGCCAGGTCAGGGCAGGCTCAGGTTGGCAGGCTTACCCCCAGGGCCTACTGCTAGCCAGGGCTGCTCCAACCTGGCTCAATGTGCTATAGTCCCAGGCACACATGTAAACACAGCGGAGTTTATTGCCATGTATTAATTTCATGTTTAGATGCGCCCAGTGACAATCTCCATTTAACTTCCTCCTCACCGCTACAAAATGTGAATGAATTTGTATCTGCAAGGTTCAGATCCTCCTGCACAAAGCCAATACAGCCACTAGAGAGCAACAAGGAATCTCTGACTAGACCCCCTGGACCAGCAAACGTGACCGAGGAGCCATTCCACTGTGCTACTGCAGGGCTCTATAATACAGTAAGCCTCTTATAGCCAGCTACACTGGCTTTCAGTCCAGTGATCTACAAGATATAGGACACCAAAACAGAGAGCTTAGACTTCAATAATTTAATAAGAATTATTTGGAACTGTGCAGTGCACAAAAAACAACACATCCCAAGGGGAATATGAAGTAAGTATGGCTCCCTTGTGCTTTCCTCCATGATACTTTAAGCCTACAGGGACAGATCCAAGGTGGGGTCTGCTGTTGCACTTACAGCCCCCTTTGATCCCACCTCCACCCTGTGGGGGCCAAGGGGGGAATCGAGGACCGGGAGTCTTTGGGAACGCTAGCTGGGGTTGCGGCTGCGATCCCGCGATGGGAAGATGGGTACTCTCTACCACCGGAGCGGAATTAGGCACAAACGAGACACGTATCAATTGGAAAACAGAGATGGCTTTACTTACACTGTAGAGTCGTATACAGTGCAGGCAATCGTAGTTGCAACAATTCTATTTAATCGGTAATCGAGGAGCTCTTGTAGACAGGGTAGCTCGGGTCTAACTTGGGCGTGCAACACGGAGGGTACGTCACAAGGCTTCACAGACGGGGAGTCATTGGCAGGTGATCAAGCTGCCGGTTCCACTCCAGGGGGAATCGCGGAGTTCTCCAACTAGGGCGGAAACGCCCCTAACCTTTTATACGGCTAACGAGCCAATTGCCAGCCGCTACGTGGGAATAATTTAACATCGGCCAATCGTATCATGCAAATCTGCATTTCCTCAGCGGGAATTCTATCCACACCGGAACTCTTCACCATGCCGAGACTTCCCCTGCCTTACCGTGCCTTGTGCTAGAAAGTTCCACTGTGTCGAGGCACTAATTCAAATCAGCTCTGACACACCCAAAGTTTAAAACCAACTGCCTAGCAGTGGCAGCAACAATCCTATTCAGGCAGTGCCAAAGGAGTCAACTGACACCATGTCTCATTATAATTAAGTACCTATCTAAACCGGGGAGAGACAAAGGGTCTTTTGTGGCCCGCTCAGCACGCAGAGCCACTTTTGGGGGGCATTTCACAGCGGCCCTGCCCCTCACTGCTGATTAACAGAGAGGGCTGCCCTTAGTGTGGCCACTGCCCCTCACCACTGATTGGCGTAGAAGGATGCCCTTCATGTGGCCCCACACCCCACTGCTGATTGGTGGGGAGGCCCTGGCAAGGAAGGAGACATGAGGGGGCAGCTGCCATCTTGGTTACTCCCCTTCACGCTGCTCTGCCAGCGGTGTCCTCCCCTACCCAGCAGGCTGTGAGGCCAGGCAACAGTGGCCATGAGGACCACTGGCTCCCACTGGGGAGCCAACATTTTATTTTCAGTAAGTTTTTGGTTTTTTGGGGTGATTCCATGGGAAATTGTGGGAAATGCCATTTTTGTGGCAATTGTGGAAATTGCCATTTTTCACAGTATCCACAAAAACTGCCAAAGTGCAATTTAAGCAGGTCCCTAATTTTAACCTACAGGTTTCCCTCACCAGCCACGGTTTTGCCAACCATGGTTTTGAGTATGCATGCTTAATATTCTATATACCATTTTGGCTACCACAGTATAGAGTTTTGAGTAACCACGGCTTTGTGGCCGCGCATCAGCCTGCCACCTGCCATTTTCCCCATAAGCCTTTTACCACGGTTCCCAACCACGGGAACTTTCAGGACCCTAACCCCAGCGGTTGGCAAGGGAAACCTGTACCCTGATCCCTTCTAAATTCTTCATTCCAGAGGTGTTAACAACCCTCTCCTTTTTAATGGTCTTGATGTTCCACCAGCCAAGCTAGCCTTTGTTCTGCATTTCTGCTGCCTGTTAGCTGTTCCTTGTAATGAAGTTCCTATTTCACAGCCCTGCAGATTGTTTTTAACTCATTCCAATGAAGTTGTATTTGTTTTTGCTTCAATACAGCCCTAGGCCCCTAGCATATTTGTAAAGCAAAAAAAAAGTTATTTTATATGTGATGATGCACCTTACCATCTGCACTCCGCCTTTTCAAACTTCTAGATCCCCCCCATGTCTGCCTACCCCACATTCCACAAGCATTTCCACAGAATACACTTCCTGGAGCAGCCAGGACTGGATTCCTAGATTACCACAACCTGACATGTAACTGTGTCACTTCTTATTCATGTGTGATCTGTTTTGTTTCTGCGTGAGCTAGTTAGTAAGCTTGTTGAGACTGGAATTCCCCTTATTTGTATAGCATCAATGCTGCTGGCACTCAGTAAATAACAGACTGAACAAGGATTCATACTTATCTGCATTTAAGGCCAAAGCAAAGCAAGTATAAGCCATCCTAAGCCAGCACTAAGGCCAAACTGCTGTGTCCAGACCTCCTGCCCCTCGCTCTGAAAACACCGCTGATAGATATAACAAGTTCTTTTTACACTGCATACCTTTTTTTAATGGTTCAGGCTTTTTGTCAGCTTTCTCTCTCCATGGAATACTGATAGATGGGAAAAATGATTTCTTTTCTCTGGTTTCTTCTTCATCATTTTTGTTTTCAATTGGAGCTGGTGGGAGCACCTTGTTCACTTTACTGTCATCCTTTTTCCAGCTGAGGTCCAATTCAGGCTTAGCTACTCTCTGCCCAAAGGTGTCAGGTAAGTTTGATCTGTTCATCTTAGAGAGAGGAGAGGATGGTGGGGTCTGGTTGGTGGGCTTTGGGGCTAAAGCAGGTTTTTGTAGGGCTGGTGATTTACACACAGGTTTCTCAGGACCAGACAGAGAAATCTGGCTGCTGGCTGGTGTAGACAGTGGAACACCTGCTGTGGGCGAGTTCTCCATAACACTGTTTGAAGAGTCTTTTAAAATATTAGCAGCAGCGTCCCCCCTGTCCAAGCTAGAGGACGGGCTCTTATTTAGAGCAGTAGTAGTGCTTTCTTTTTCAGTTTCGGCTGTAACTAGGGGGACAGGGACACCATCAAAGCTATCTCCTGCACTGTATCTTTTCTTTTTCCTTTGCTCCATCTGTTGATCATAGTGGAAACGCAGAGAATAATTTGTTCTCCTTAACTTTATACCAAACGGAGAAACATTTTCTTCAGCGTTTGGTCCTGCTTTATCCGATTTTCTTGTAGCATTATTCTGCTGACTTTCCAAAGCAGCTGAAGACTCTGACTGTGATGCTTCTCTGCCTGGAGAATGAGGGATGCTTGGAACAAGGAAAGATGGAAGATCTTTGGCAAACTTACAACCTTCAGTGTTGTCTGCCGCTTCAGTTTTCTCCCGAACTACTTCTGGTGCATTATCTGTCCAAGCAGGGACTGCATCATTAAGAGCCACATTTTCATTTGACTCTCTGGATAAACCTACTGTTTTCCCCACATTCTCTAGTTCAGCACCTTGTGTGCCACTTATATTCTCTGCCTCTGCACTGGCTTTTGAAGTGTCTGAAAATTTCTGCCATGCTGGTGTTATAGAAAATTTTGCATTTGCAGATAGGGTTTTCCTTAAGTTACTGTGGGAACCACCTCCTCCTCTGGCTGTCCAATCATCACTGTGCCGACAGGCACTTACTCGGTCTCTCTCATTTACCTTGTTTTCTGCAGTCTTTAAGATTCGAGACCTAATAGAAGCCAGTTCAGCCAATATGGCCTGATTGTTCAGTGTCTCTTGTGTATGCTTCAATTTACTGCTAGATGTAGTTTTCTGTATATTTTCTAGTGGGGGAATAGTCATAGTTTTTCTTTCTTCTGTCAAGCCAAGTAAAGATTTACAAGCTGTATCTTTGATCTGATTCAGGTTTACTGCAGTGCCACAAAGCTGTGCTCCAGTCACCAAGATAGCTGTGTGGGGGACACACACCGAGGATGGGAGTGCATGAGAGCCTTTGTTAGTTTTGTGGGCCCTGGACTCTTTGATGGCAGAAGGAAGTGTTGCCTCTCTGACAGGAGTGACTGGGCTCAGATTCACTTTGTGAAATAGGATCTGTTTCTCACCTGATGACACTTGAAATGTGAATGGTCTAGACATAGTTTGCCTTTCATCTACTTCCTGCCATCTTATTTCTTCTCCTATTCTCTCCTGCTCCTTAGCTTCAGCTTCTCTCTTTTGTTTCTCTGCAAAAGTTTCCTCCACTGGTTTCTTCAGCTCTAGCTGTTTTGTTTTTTGTCTCGAGTCTTGAAGCTGTTTCTCCACAGGCTCCCTACTAGCATCCCCAGAATGCAAGTCATCGTTCTCCTGTCTTGAGGATTTATGCAGTCCTTTTTGCTTTTCCAGAAGCAGTTGTCCTTCTATGTGTGTTTTTCTATTCTCTTTTAGTTTTTCTTGAATTTGTTCCTCTTGCCTCTTTTTAAATTCCCCATGTTGTATTCTCTCATCGTTCCTGAAGTGCATTTGCTCTGCAGACTCATGCTTTTTTTGTTGTTTTTGTCCCTTATGCTTTTCCAGCACTTGATGGCTTTGTTCTGCCTGTGTCTTCTTTTCCTTCTCCTGAAGTTGCTTTTGTTCTTCCAGTCTTTTATGCTGCTCCAGCCTTGAAGCTTCTTCCTCCTGTTTCAGTTTCTCTTCAACTTCTAGATACGATTTCTCGTCTAGATCGTGTCGTCTCTGCTCTTCGTGTCTTTTCCACTCCATCAATTCTTGTAGTTTTTGTTCCTCCTGCTTCTTCTTTTCTTCTTCCTGATGTTGCTTTTCAATCTCACGCCTTTGTTCTCGTCTCTTCTGCTCCTCCAGTTCCTGCTGCCTCCGTTCTTCCTCAAGTCTCTTCTGTTCTTCCAGTCTCTTTTGCTCCTCCAGTTCTTGTTGCCTCCGTTCTTCCTCAAGTTTTCTCTGTTCTTCCAGTCTCTTTTGCTCTTCCAGTTCCTGTTGCCTCTGTTCCTCCTCAAATCTTTTCTGCTCTTCCAGTCTCTTCTGCTCCTCCAGTTCTTGTTGCCTCCATTCTTCCTCAAGCCTCTTCTGTTCTTCCAGTCTCTTTTGCTGCTCTAGTTCTTGTTGCCTCCGTTCTTCCTCAAGTTTTTTCTCCTCTTCCCAGCGCCTCTGCTCTTCCATTTTCAGATGTTTCTCCTCTTCAAGGAGATGTTGCTTTCTGTCTTCCTTACGCCTTCTTTGCTCTTCTCTTTGCATCTCCTCAATTTTTTGGTGCCTCTCTTCTAGATGTTTTGTTTCCTCTGTTTCTACTACTTGTTTTTTCTTATCAGCCTCAAGAATCCTCAAATGATCTTCATGCTTTCTTTTCCCATCTGCTAAATTAGGCTGCTTTTGCTCCACTGTCTCCTGGGTTGACTTGTTTGCTATAATGTGTCCATTGTGATCTGGATTTCTTTCCACATACTGCTGGGTTTCTGGACTTTCTTGCTCGTACTCTGTTACTGCTATGCTTTGTGACTCCTAATGTTGAGAAACAAAAACAAAGTTACTTAAAATTGGTTATTGTTCCCTTTCTTCACTGGAAAGAATGGAAAGCTGACCTGTTCATTTTTAACAATCAGTATAGAATAAATATAGAAATTGGTTTCTGTATCCTCTCTTAGAAAGTTACATTTTGCTACATCTGAGAAAAGGCAATACATGTTGATTTGTGGGTATAGTGTCATAAACTAAGACATATTAGAGTAACTGAATAATCTGTCAGTTATTCTTTCACAAGTTTACAGGAATAGTGTTTTGTAAAAGAAAAAATAACATAGCCACAATAACACTGTAGTGCTAAACAATGAATCACTGTAAAATGCATGTAAACCAACACTGATCAAATTCTGATCAATCAAGATCTACAGAAAACATCTTGACAGAAGCTTGGGGGGTAAAACTGATTTGTGTTAAAATGGAGTAGAAAGTATCTTTTCATGGGTCCAAAGCTTAGCACTCAAGCCAAAAAAGCTAAGAAGCTTGGTGAAATTGTTGCTGAATATTGCATGCTGGAATATGTAGTCTCCCCAAATAACAAGAAAGCTTCCACCACTCTGGCTGCGCTTCATCACAGACCCATCCTGCTGTGAACATAGTTGTACAATGTCACATTTCTATTTCCAGCACTGTGCTGAATTTAGCTACTTTGTGAACCATGAGTTCATTATAAGGCTCAGAAATATTAAGCATCTGTTCAAAACCATTGTCTTTGTCAATGCTGTCTCTGTAGAGCTGTTTCCACAGAGACATCACACAGCCCCATAGAGAGCAACTGTGCAGTGCTGGAACAGAAAGGGGAAGAACACTAAAGGAAGGTTGCCAGTCTAGCCAGATTAGATAAATTGTGCTCGGTCAGGGCTCCCTGAGGATAGCTCCGGTCCATGAATCTGGGAGCTTCCTAAAACTGTGGGAAATCACAGAATTATAGAAAATTAGGATTGGAAGGGACCTCAGGAGGTCATCTAGTCCAACCCCCTGCTCAAAGTAGGACCATCCACAGCTATATCATCCCAGCCAAGGCTTTGGCTAGCCGGGTCTTAAAAACCTCTGAGGATGGAGATTCCATAACCTCTCTGGGTAACCTGTTCCAGTGCGTTATTACCTTCTGAGTTAGAAAGTTTTTCCTAATATCCAACCTAAACCTCCATTGCTGCAACTTGAAACCATTGCTCCTTGTTCTGTTATCCACTACCATTAAAAACAGTCTAGCGCCAGCCTCTCTGTAACCACCCTTCAGGCAGTTGAAGGCTGCTATTAAATCTCCCCTCAGTCTTCTTTTCTTCAGGTTAAATAAGCCAAGTTCTAGGGCTGTGCGAAACAGCACCATTTAGTTTCAACTGACGTTTCGACAGTATTTCGCTTTGAGTTTCATTTTGTTTTAAAGCCACTGTTCCGTTTCATTTAGTTGAAACTGTTTCACAGTTTTGATGCTGTTTCAACGTTTTGCCCATAGGCTATAATAGGGAAGCACAAAACTGCCTATAGCTTAGTAGTTTCTTGCCTGATTTGGATGAAACTTGCAGGGATGGTAGCCCTTTATGAGGCCATGGAGCCTGGTAGCTTTCAAAGAGATAGGTGCAGGGGTTTCTGGGAAACTGCACCTCAGGCTGCTGACTAGCAAAACTTGTGACATAAGTGATACTCTGTGTGTGTTAAGGCGCACCCTCACTGGCACTGGGGCCTCTACACAACACAGTAGTGTGCCCCAATGAGGTCTCCTCCCCTATAGCCTCAGCATGGTCCACCGCTTTATATGACAACAGGTATAAAATAACTTAGTGAGCACCAGCACAGTAGCAGCAGCAGCATCTCAGGCAGCCAAACTGTGACAGAGCCTTTCTTTCCTTTCCTGCAGGAGCTTCTTCTCCAGCAGGTGCCAGAGAACTCTCCCTGCCAGCCCCAGCCCTGGGGCTTAGATGTGCCCAGGGCCCTGCGTCCTTCTGGTCAGGTGCTGGGGTGTTGGTCTAAGGACATGGCACTGGTAGACAAGGTCCTTTCCTTTGGGTCAATCTAATCTGGTATCTATTAGCAGACTAACTGAATAGTTGGAGAAATATATCTTAGCAAGCTTTTGGGTTGAAAAACCCTTCATCAGGCTGAGAAAGCACCTTCAGTTGGTGTGCGTGTGCTCTTCCTGGATGGAAGGAATAGTAAAGAAGCCAGAGGCTGGCATGCAATGCAGGCAAGAAAGCCACTCAGTGAAAATGGAAATGGAGGTGACAAGGGGTGAGGGACAGGCCGGCAGGGGGCAAGGGGATGTAGCAGCACAGATAAAAGTGGAGCGATACCTGGGGAGTTATATGTCCGGCAGGTTGTAGTGTGTGAGAAATCCAATGTCTATATTGAGTCCATGACTTTCTGTACCTACTACCTAGGAGGTTGATGAAGTGAAGTTCATAGGCTCATCTGTGAAAAGTGGTTTGTAAATTCAAACAAGCACTGAACCCCACTAACCTCATCACCAGAAGCCAACTTCCTACAGCCCAAAACACACTGAATGGATCCAGGCCATGCCATGACAAGACACGCAAAACCTGCCAACAATATCTCCAGTAGGGAGATATTTTCACAATACAATACATACCTCCATCAGGGCACATAGTGCCCTGATGAAAAATACGTGGAGACACTGAGCAATAACTGCACACCAGAATGAGCACGCACAGAAAATCTATCAAAGACAAGAACAACACCTGTCTCCAGTCTCTCAGGCCTGATTCTCAAAGGGAATTTACAAACCACGTTTCACAGATGAGCCTATGAACTTCCTTGTTAGCTGACTGCACACCTTGAGAAACAGGAGTTTTCCTACTCCTCACCAAAAGCATTTTAAAGAGTAAATGTTTTTTTAAACAGGGGAGAAATATTCTGTAGGCACACTACAACCAGCCAGATAGCTGACTCCCCAGGTTCCTCTCTATTTTTACCTGTGCTGCCACAGCCCCCTTCCCCCCCAACCTCAGCCTGTCCCTCACCTCCTGATGCCTCCATTTCCATTTTCACTGACTGGCTTTTGTGCTTGCATTCCATGCCAGCCTCTGGCTTCTTTACTATTCCTTCCATCCAGAAACAGCACACACACACACCAACTGCAAGCGCTTCCTCAGCCTGACAAAGGGTTTTTCAACTCAAAAGCTGGCATCCCAGGCAGCTACGATGAGCTCACCTGGAGCCTCAACTCCACTGCAACCTGGGACTGGAAGGGACCTCAGGGAAGGATCATAGTTACTGGCCAACTACACAGTCAATATAAGAGCAGTCCTTTTCCCCACTTCCCCCTCCCTCTCCTTACTTTCTGTTTCCCTGCAGGCAAGCACAGCTTGAGTTTCGAAACTCAAAACGTTTCGAAACTTTCAAAACATTTCCACTGCCCTCATTTAAACCCCCTCCTCCCACTGGCACGGGAACCCAGCCAGGGTCTGCTTGGCAGGGGACTAACAGGAGACCAGCAGACTCCACCCCCTCCCACCTTTGGCAGAGGTTGAGGCAAGCAGTTGATAAGGGGAGGGGGGCATAATTCCCATCAGCTTCCCCAGGCCATGGGGGAGGAGGAAGAGGCTGGGGAACCAGGGCTGGAGGGACTGGTCCCCTGCCACCCATGAGAAAAGGGCCAGGCCCTGCAGGGCCAGACTGAGAGGTAGGAGGTGTTGGCAAAGACCTGGCACAATCATCACATGTATGTGCTGAAGATGCAGGTAAGGGAATAGGAGAGGGTCCCAGACTTTTTGGGCTGGTGTGACCAAAGAAAGCAGAGAACTACATTTACATTATAAAGCAGAACCTGTAAAAGGTGGGAGACTGGAATACCTAAGAAGAGACAAAAGACACTGAATGCATGAGAGTCCTGCCAAAGGTGCTATGGTGGGGGCAAGCATACTAATGTCAAGGCACCCAAGGGGGAGAAGGGAGTGCAAGTGGGCCTGTAAAAACCCAAATAGAGATGAGTCCTGTGGGATCTCTACTCCAACACCTAGAACCACCTGCTGATTCCCCAAGAAGGACTTTCTGAATCCCTGGCTGTAAGGAGACACTCTGCCCTCAGGATTATGTAAGACTTATGCAAGGCATTCTCTTGTCTTCTTGATTTATTAAATTCCAGTTTAAGTGAGACTAAGCTGTGTGTGCTCTCACTGTGTTTTACTGAGCTGTAACTTAGCATATGTGAAGGTTTTTGGTTTTCTTTGTTGTGTGCTTGAGGTTGCAAATTGCTGTGTTCAGTACATGCTAACTTCACAGAAAGGACTATTCTTGTTCAAGTTTTTTTGAATTCAGTGCCACTACCTTTTTCCCCACCAACCCCTTCCTCAGTTTGGCAGGGGCTGCTTTCTCCCCGCCTTGAACAGGGAGCCAACGGGGAGAGGGTTGCAAAAGCCTGGTAAGCACTGCCCCCTGCCCAGGCAGACACAGGCTGAGGTCCCATGTGGGCCAGGGATGGTATTTAGACCCCCACCCCCGCTAGCCCCAAACTGGCGCCTGGCCATGTCCCCTCTGCTCAAGCAGGGAGTGGGGAAAAGCCTTGGAGCTTCACTCCCTTCCCTTTGCCACTGGCTGGCAGGCTGGGAGGCATGCTGTAGCACCCCCTGGTTTCTGGCCTAAGCCACTGCAGGCATGTGGCTGCATTTCCTGAATCAAGTGACTCTCTGTTCATTTGCTTCTCAGTTTAATCTCTCCAGTTTAGACTAACCTGCAAAGGCTGAACTGATTCAACCTCAGGCTTTTTGACTGCCTGCCTCCCATTACATAGCCACCCTGTCCCTCCCTGTGAGGTCAAAGGGTAATGAGATGGGAGGCTGAACTGACTGCAGCCCAGAATATGCCACACAGCGCAGTACAGTGAAAAATTCAAATGTGAACAAAGCCAGGGCCCTTTCTTGCCTTTATCTGGCAACCTGTAACTGAACTGCTGTATACTCAGAATCCATAAATGGCCACAGTCTCAGTTGTATTTATTTGAAGTCAAGAGTTGGGATTATGAAGCCTGGTTTTGTTGGGGTTATGAAGGAACTACAAGTGCCTTGTCCTGGGAGCACCTCTGTGGCTCCAGTAATATCAAAGGGAGTGTGGGACAGCCTTAGCCCACTTTCCTTGCCCACAGCACAGATCAACAGAGTTTGGCTGAGTTGGGCAGATGAGTACACTGCACACTCGGTGTGGCTTCTGGAGCTTTCCCAGAGGAATTCAGCTCAGCTTCCACCCCAATGAGCCAGCAAGGCATACTTTGATCCTGATTATACAGCACCGTTTTATTCTGTCTTTAAAAAAGACCGGAATTAATCTCTTCACCACAGAAGTTCTTGGGATGCAGAATTTTAGCTAGGCACATGGGCAGGACAGGGTAGCTTGTATTACCACTTTTTCAAGCCATTATGCCATTTTAAAACTGGTTTATGTATACTCAACTTCTGTTCTGTTACAAGTTTAAACCAGTTTCTGATCACTTAAACTGGTTTATGTGTAACTTCTGTCCCTAGCCTAAGTGGCTTTGCAGCCATAGCTGTCCTAGCACAGCTCCAGAAGCAGCAGCTCTATAATGTAGACGAACCGTAAGTTTTCACTGCAAAATGATACACATTTTAGAGGGAGACTGCCAGATTGAGATAGCTTTGCTGACAAAATCTGAGTAGATATCCCAGGTGGGGCATGGAACGTTTACCCCATTTGCCTTGTTCCTTACGTTTAGGCACGTATCCCTGGTGAGACATCTCATTTCACTATCTGATTACCCAAATCACCTCAGTACCTTTGTTAATCTCCTGTGTTTTCTTGACATCCTCTGTTTTTTTGGCTTCACGGAGAGTTTGTGCTTAGCAGCACTGTTATCTAGACGAGCGACTGCCTGGGGGACCGCATCCAAGTTGATCGATTCAATGGTGCCAGAAGAAGAAAGGTGTCTTTTTGGCCGAGACGACTTGACCGGGGTGACCTGTTCATACCATACATGCAAAGTATCTCTCATTAAAAAAAACAGAAAGAAGGCACCTTAGATTCCAGAGTGTCCCCCGACCCTCAGGGTACTTTTAAAAATTCGTTTCTATGTTTAGGCATTCAAAAGAGTTGTTCATGGAAAAAATGCAAAACCATTTACTATGGGGGGGAGGGGGGGGCTTAGACACTGAACATGGAAGTAGCAGCTGTTAAAATACTGTATCTTCTCATACAGCACATGCCCCCAGATAAGACGCACACATTGTTTTTGAAAGGCAGAATGGAGAAAGGAAAGGTTTTTCCATAGTCATGGCATACAGCTGGCTTTTTCATGGAGACATTGTACTTCAAAATGACTACCACCTTCCCTCTCTCTGCCAGCAAGCAGGAGGGTTGCAGCTCACTGTTAACCTTTTCACAGCCACTCAAATTGGCCACAGTGTTTGGCTGCTCAGCTTTTATACATGTCCTTTCGCGTAGTTCTGCGTGAGAAAACAAGGTGAGAGGAAATTCCTTGTACACTGTCACCTACTCCTCCCACAACCCTCCAATACAGGCCTACATATAACAGCCCTACATCTGCAGCTTAGTATAACATAGGTCAAATTCTCACCTAGCATAAAATACACAATATACACCATGAACATGTAATTATAGTCACAGGAATCAGAACATTTCCATTTCCCATTTTAAACCGAGCAACCTCAGCACTGCATTTGTGTGGTTCAGGCAAAATTCTGAATTACTACTATATCTGGTAACTGCAGTGAACCAAATGAGGATATACTTATCAATTTTATGCAGTGAAAAATTGTTTTTTTCATTTTTATTAACTTTCAGGAAATAAGTCCATATTTTTATAGAAATCCTCAATGACAAGTATTTTCATTCCCAGTGGTTGAATACCCCAGCTAAGAGTTACTGACATTGCTTTGTCTTTATACACTACTATTTCATACTGCATAGACAGGTAAAACAATTAAACAGGTTTAAAAAGATGCATGGGGGAGATATTCAGTTTGTGTGCATTTGTCTCCAACAGCTAATCTACTGGAAACTGTTACATGTGTCCATTCTATCTTGCTGTAAGGGGCAACTAAACTGCAATAACTTACCCTTTGTTTTATTCAGGAGTAAATTACTACAGTTTAACTACTGCCTGCTGCAGGGTAGAGCAAGTACGTGAAGCAGTTACCATGGAGATCAGCTTGGCACACAATAATTTTCTCCAACTTAAATCAGTATGATTGTTTCACCTGTCTATACCTTCAGAGGCATAACTGGTCAGAATTGTGCTCTCTCCCTCCATCCTGCACTTTAGAATCATACAAAGTTAGGGTTGGAAAGGACCTCAGGAGGTCATCTAATCCATCCCCCTGCTCAAAGCAGGACCAGCCCCAACTAGATCATCCCAGCCAAAGCTTTGTCTAGCCACATTTTGAAAACCTCCAAGGACAGAGATTCCAACACCTCTCTGGGTAACCTGTTCCAGTGTTTTACAATCCTCCTAGCGAGAAAATTCTTCCTAATATCTAACCTAAACTTCTCTTGCTGCAACTTGAGACCACTGCTCCTTGTTCTGTCATCTGCCATCACTGAGAACAATCTAGCTCCATCCTCTTCTGAATCTCTAGGGAGTTGAAGGCTGGGTAGTTGAAGGCTGCTATTCAGTTCATTCTCAGTCTCCTCTTCTCTAGGCTAAATAAGCCCAGTTCCCTTAGTCTTTCCTCATAAGTCATGCCCCCTTCCTTTGAGCAGCTCTAGCTCCAGCACTGACAGCTGTGAAGGCAGAGCAGTGAGAGCAATGCATGGTGCTCGAGTAATGACAAGTGGTTTTCTGCCAATGGGGGAGATGCTACCTCATTTTTTGCTGCCAACACACATGAAGTGGCCAAATAAATCATCAGTTTTTGGCAACCAAAGAAAAGGAGGCGAAGCACCAACCAGCCAACCTCTGTTTAGAACTACATTCTCTGGCATGCCTACATTTCCCAGAATACCTTTCACTAAAGCCTGTCACAAAGACTAAAGGAATGTCACACATTCCTGGACTGCTACTTTCTGCTCTCCCCACAACCATAGCCAGAGCCACCGCAAGAAAAGTGTATAGGAAGTGGGAGCTATAACACTAAGGTACTCCCCTAGGTCCATTTTAACAATCTCTGTCCCTTAGTCAGCATCCAGGGTTCAAGTACTGCTTGTCCACACATCCTTCCATTACTGCATACCTTGCACACAATTGGCACACAAGTCAACAAGTCTAAGCTTGCTTTAGGTATCAAAAAGGTCACATGTTCACCTAATCCTAGAGCCCCTTTGGGGTGGCATGTCTCATGCACACCAGATTCTGTAGCCAACAGCTCTTCTTCAAGTGCTGTGACCAGTATAACACTTGACTGCCTTTGATGCCCCAGTTTGAAATGATCCAATACCCACTTACAGCTGAGTCAGTTTGGCCTCAGTGCACAGTAAGGCTTGAATTCATGCCACTAGAGTAGCAGGAAGGCCTCTTAACAACTCCAACACTGTGCCCTGCTTATTGCTCCTCTGAAAGCTCCCAGGTGAAATCAGAGTGCCAATTTTGGTCAATGCTCTTTCTTTTGGTTTGTACATACTTGAGCCAAGATACTGTGGACACTCACACATGTGCATAACTCTGCTCATGGAAATAGTAACATTTAACATAGTGGCTCTGTTTTCAGGAGTAAGGTTATACACATGAGTGCAGGCTTGGAACCTTGGGTTTCCCAGCTGCTTTGAGATATACTGAAAACATCTCCAAACACAAAATTAAAAGGTCACAATACTTGGTTGAAAGATTGGTAGATAGATCTTTCCTATAGGCCCTGCAGCAGCAAATGCTGTTATACCAGAAAAAAATTAGTGGGAACACATTAAACTAGCTTTTAAGTTGTGACAAAATAAAAAATGTCCCCACATGGTTCATTTAGGGCTATTAGATTTGCATTTGGCACCAACTCAGAAAGGAACAAGATTTAAAAAAAATAAGGTTGTGGGGAGGAGCTGTATGTTTTCCAGAGAGAAAATACATTATCTTTTTCACAAGACAGCTCTGAAATCCATGGAGGTTAAATGTAGGTTAATGAGGAAACCAATTATTTAAAGATGTGAAATATTGTTCACAGACTTATTAAATTACATGTAAGCATAATAAAGTAGTAAAATTACTTCTGAAAATGATGGCTCTTTAGTAAATCAAATGCAGGACTGCTTCGAGACCAGCTGAGCAGGAACTCTGTTCAGTTTTCGGTAGCTATCTATTGCCATAGAAACAGACTAGTCAATGTTAGGAACTATTTATTTATTAGTCTCTCTCAAATACTGTGCAGCAGAATTGTCTTAAATCCTGACAGTTTTGGATGAATTTGGAACAATAAAATTGTTATTACAGTTAAAAAAAAGTATATGGGCAGTTTTCTAGAAAAGAAAATTAAAGGAGAAAAATGAAAATCAAAGTAGCAGAGAATTCATAATTAACACATTCAGGTAACTACAGTGTCCTGTTACCTTCTCCTCCATGTCCTGTCCTGTTCCAGGCAAACTCACTCGGCTCAATGAATCTGGAGTGTCAATTGACTGGAAAAGAAGAAGAAGATTACCTCAGGCAGATATTAAAATGCAAGTAATCTAATAAATACAATTAAGAGAATTAGTGAGAGCATAAAATGATGAGTAGAAAATCCCTACTGAGTTTAAAAGCAAAGTCAAAAAATAACCTGCCACTATTTGAAGACTTCTGAATTTTTTTAACATAAAACTGTGAATTAGCCTGACTAAAGTCTGGATCAGTATAAACTAAAGAGCCCTGCTGTCTCCTAGGCAGGAATTACATGCATCAGGGGATGGAAAACCTATACATTTCCTGTGCATTCTCTTCCTTTGCAGACAAGTGGGATCCATAGAGGGGTTCCTTAGGCTATCAGTAAAGTTTCATTAGAGCTGCTAGCCATTTACCCCCAGCAACTATCTCATTAGAGTGAAAAAGAAACAGCATTAATTACTAAAGATGCCAGAACCATATTATTAATACTTTGTGTCCCAGTAGCATTTAGAAGCCCTGACCTGTTGTGGTCCCCCTGTGCTACATGCTGTACAATCCCTGCCCCTTAGGGTTTACCATGGGAAAGACAGATAAAGGCTAAGGAGGAAATAGAGAGGCAAAGCTATTTGTCCAGTGACACCCAGGAGGTCATTGGTTTTGGTATGGATAGAATCCAAGTCTCCTGAATTCCAGTTTAGTATCTTATCCACTGGAATCAATTTGCTCTGCTCTGGGAAAATTCATGAAATCCAACCTTCACATCCTTCCATTCCCCTTCCTTGCGCTCTCCAATTCCATAAGCTGGGGTGGCCCTTGGCAGTATCAAGGTTGGGGGGGAAGGGAGGGGGCTCAAAAACAATCCTGGAGGCAATATTCCTTGACTGTGTGCTTTCAAATGCAATCTAGGGGTCCATGAGGTCTTCTGCAGGAGAAAGCACTAAGGTCCTAAATAATATTATTTGTATGCATCAACTTAAGTGTTTCTTTTTATAACTCTACATACTGAATATGTTTGCATTACTAAGAGAGATTTCATCACTAATTATGGGCCATTAGCACCTTTGATATCAGTAGGAGAGAGAAGGGACAAGTGGCAGGATCGATGGCTGGATCCTAACTGGGGTGGCCATCTCAGAGGACATTCCGGTTTTCTGCTACTCTGTCCTGTCCTCTATTGATGCGAAACCCGACGCCCCTATGTTCTCTCTTCAAGAGAACAATAGAGGACATAAAGGCATTTGGTTTTGTATCAATAGAGGACAGAGGACAACTGGACTGTTCTCTATGATGGCCACCCAAACACCGGCCAGGTTTGAACCTGAGATGATTCATTCCAGCCTGCTGCTGCAAAAAGGTTGCTGACCACTGTCCTTGTACATTGGAAAACACTGGGCATCTATTTTAAAACATTATGATGCTGTTAATGCTGTGCCTCTGATCACCACACCGTTTTCAATGAACACTAGCACTTCCACACAGCTAGTGGAATGAACTCTTCATTGAGTTCTTCCACACAGAAATATTAGTATTCTCTCCCTGCAGCCTGAGCTATCTGGTGACATCCTGATCCCTTGCACAATGCCCCAACAGAACAGCTGTGTGTAGGGGAACTATGTGGGAAGAACATAGCAGCTTTTTCTATCAACCCACAGGTGGAGCATAGACCTCAAGAGTGTCCACAAACCCACTCCCCTCCTGTGCAGACAAGACGTGAACTCTTAACTGATCTCTCTGCTGCACAGCTTCTTTGTGCGGCAAAACTATATTGTTTCCACAGTATTCGAGGCTGTTCTAATCCTAGAAGAGGCAGGATTTATCCACTGATTCACTGGTTTCCTACAAGATTTGTCCATCTAGCTCACAAGCAGCCTCACTGTCTTTGCAGTAGAAGGTTTGCATATAGCTTTGAGGTGTGATAGGTGTGGTTTTAAAACCACAGCCCTGGCTGAAGGAGCAGAGAGGAACCATGTTGCAGCTTGAGAATAGAGAAGGAATTTGGGCTGGTACAGACAGAAATCTTCTTGGAGTGTTTTGAGGAGCACATGCATCAGCTGCGGCAGATACTCATTCCCCACCCCTGCTGGACAAGAGCAGGTAGAAGATGAGGATCTGCTTGCCCGTCTTTCAGGTAGCTAGCACTACTACTAATAAGAGCAGGAATTAATTTTGTGCTCTCACCTGTGCCAGGATCCTGCTTAGCCTCTGCACACAACTGCTGTGTGCAAGGTCCTAGCTGGATAGTGTACTCTGCTTTCCCCAAATGAACCCCAGCCTCCACCCAACTCAAATCTTTGCATTTCTACCCATTTTGAACTCCATGGTCCTCTTCAACCTAGTTACAGAAACATACAGAAACTCTCCCTCTTTTTTATCTATGGCAGTGACTGTCAACCAGCGTGCTGCAGCACTCTAGGGTGTCACAAGCTCGTTTTATGGATGGTAAGGGATGCTACACAATATTAACACTGTTAGGTGTGTCCACACACCTATGCATGATTCACAAGGTTACTCTAGAGATTTCAACTAGGAAGCCAGAGTGTCAAAAATATTCTGACCTGTTGTGGGCTTTCTGAGTTCTTTTCAACAAAATAATTTATCTGTTATTTTTCTGTAATCAAGAAATGAGTGAAAGCTAAGCTGGCATTTTGACAGGTGCCTTAAATCTAATGAAGGTCACGTGAAGTCTAATAAGGTTGAGAACCACTGATCTGTGGTTTTGCATTGCATCCACTTGACAACTTGTGGTGCTTGATTTAAAAAATGTTATGGTTACCTATGGTTTTGGTATTCTTTGCTCTGACTCCAATCTCACAGCATAGACTCCTTGTACCACAGATACTTACCCCATAACTGGCCTATTGGCAAATTGTTTCAGGCCCATTTTGCAAGATACCTCCTCTTTGCCATGTGGTGCTGTGTACATGGTCCCACGCTGGGGAATTGATATTTCAAAATGTCTTCTATATCTCTCCAAAGTCTTTTCCTGCTCTCTAGCAATATCAAGTTTGTCATCTGCTTTCTGGGAAGTCAAAATTGGGCCTTTCCTACTCTTATAAATGTCATGACTTCCCTCCCAGAAGAGCAGGTGCCTCATGCCCAGTGCATATCCATCTCATCCATCTGGGAAGCAGGATTCAAAGGATCCTACTAAATCTAGGGCAGGGGTGGGCAAAGTCCAGCCCATGAGCTGGATCCGGCCAGCAGTGGACTCCATTTCCCAGCAGCCCCTGCCCGCACGGCTGGGGCTACTCTCCATGAAGACCTCAGCTGCTGAGCTGTGATAGTGCAAAGCTGGGATTGCCATGGAGCATGTGGCAGGGCAAGGCAAGGGGCTGCTCTGGAGCCACTGGGATCTTGCCGCAGGGACAGCTTGGTCAGGGCCAGGGCAGAGCCACGATCTGCCACCTGCACACTCCAGGCAGGGGTATGCAGGCAGCAGATCGCAGCTCTGCCCTGGCTCAGGACCACACTGTCACTGCTGCAAGGAGCTAGGGCAGAGCCACGGTCTGCTGCCTGCATACCCCTGCCCAGAGTGTGCAGGTGGCAGATTGCAGCTCTGCCCTGGCCCCAAACCAAGCTGTCCCCGCCACAAGATCCCAACAGCTCCGGAGCAGCCCCCTGCCCTGCACCTAGGTCCAGTCTCCATGGCAACCCCAGCCTTGCACTATAACAGCACAGTGACTGGGGTCTCCATGGAGATTGGCCCCAGCCACATGGGCAGCGGTTTCTGGGAAATGGAGTCTGGCTGCCAGCCGGATCCGCCATTTTGCCAACCCTGATCTAGGGTGTCCTCATATAACAATACCAACTGCTGTATCTCACTGAGTCCAGGTATGCCTCACTGGCCACTGCTGCTATACTTTAGTGTGGTCTACTCTTTTAGTAATGCTGTGATTCAGTATATAGCTTAATTTAAAATGCATACTTTAGCATCACTGCCTGAGAGCACTGGGTGCTGCTGAGATTCAATCTCCATGGGGCTTCTGAGCAATACATCCTCTTCTAAACTAGAATCTGTCTCCCCCATTGTCTACATAGAAACTGTAGTTTGTGGAGGTTGCCCAAATTTAATATACTTGGCCAACTCATGCTGAAAAATAGGAAAAACATGTGTTTGTCGTGTGTGAAATACATCAGCTCTCCAGCATATGTCTCTCTACATGTAAACTGCATAGTCTGGAAGAAAATGGTTTGAAATACCCAAACTGGTTTCCAGGTCTGAAAAGCAAACCAACTTCAGATTTGCTGAAAAGTAAAGCAGCTCCAGTGACCACAACAAAATGGCACAAAAAGAAACAAGAATAAAAAAGAAAGCAAAGAAAAAGGACACTTAGCAGGAGTACCCATTGTCTCCAAATTCAGAATTTTACAAACAACTTCTGCTTTGGCTGTTCAACTGCAGACACATTCAATGCTGACAACTTGCAATTTTATTGGGATTCTTGCAATACTGGATGGGTTTTTTTAAAGACCCATCTGCTGAAGTTTTGTGAACATATCAAAGCCAAACTTCATTTTAAAAAGAAATCTATTTCTAGTCCTTACAGTTGCAGAGAAAACCCTGAATTCATGACCCAAGTATACTCAGAAAGCTGGAAAATCAGACAGCACAATAAATCAAGTAAATCAATCATTTGTTTAAAAAATGACATTAAGTTGGAGGCCTGCTGTGAGTTCTAAGTGAATCCTAACACCTCGCCTTCTAGGGACTGAAGAATGCTGAGTATCCACACTGATCATCCAGGCCCTGTTTAGCCATCTAAGTTTTGGCTGTCAAAACCATTGGCACTCAAAGTCCTTTGGGACTTTGAAACTATTGACTAGAGACATTCCCTCTGCTAATGCTTGTATACATTGCCCTGATGACTGGTGCATCAGGAGAACACACAAATCCTACTTTGGGCTCTGCAGAGGGAATCATTATAAATACATGTGCATGGGTCAGTCAGAAAAGAACTCTGTAGATTTTCCATCATTCATTTCTCCTCTGCTTCTTTTCCATGGCTGATCTAAAAATTTTCTTTCCCAAGAATGGTAAGTAAAGTGTTTTTTTAATTATACCAAGTATTAAGGTGAATAAAACAAATAGTATTGTATGGCTCTCGTGGTAGGGCCTCTTTAGAGTACAGAAATAAATTTCAATTTAACTTGTCTGAAAGAATATAACCTTTGAAAGAGAACGTACTTTTGGCCAGGGAGTTAAAATAAATTCTCTCGCAAGTGTAACGCATAGCAGCAAGGGATAGTTAGGATTTGATTGTCTTCCTGAAATATTTAAAGGAATCATACCCAACCAAAAGAGATGAGGCATGTAGTTATTTCCATACTGTATTCTCTTTCAAGAACTGAAAATTCTTCAGAGAGGATTTCTGCTCCCTATATGCATTGCTGTGAAGACCTGCATCAGAAGAACACTCACAGAAGGAATTCAAGGAATTCAACTTCCATGTTGGTGAATGTCTACTATAGGTCAGATCTTTGATGTAAAACCATATCCTTTAGAACAGCAGAACAATGTAATATAGATTAGAGCAGAGATAATGCAAAGCAAAGATAATATCACAGCTCAGAAACAAAAAATACCACTTAGGTGAGGACTTAGCAGGGGACCACATCTTTCAGTACTAATAAACAATTTTAAATGATTTGCAGACCATAACCAGTGGGAATTTTGAACGCATATATATCAGTTATCCAGATTACCTACCATAATGCCAAACCACAAAGGCAAAGAACTGTGAATGAAAGGGTAGGGGGTAAAAAGACTGCTGTCAAGTTGAGGAACCAGGATTATTGTTCCTCCCATTCCTCACACAGCTTTGCACAGTTATTGCTGCCCATCTGAGCCATGATAATGGGAGGTATAACTTGTGATCATATGGGCATAACGGATGAAGTTAAGGAGAGCAGAGAATCACGCCTGCTCACATAATCCTGCTCCTAGCCCCTCTGACTCCCATTGCTAGGGACCTACCGAATATACGGCAGAAGTGGGCTGCATGGCAGTTCCTTTATTTTTGCAGGTTCCCCCGCGCACACCCCCTCCCATTGCTGATTGGCTGAGGGACCCCGTTGGCTCTGCTGCTTGTTGCTGACCCACTGAGAAGCAAAAATGGCACCATATTTAAAACCAATTTTCACCTCCCTGCCAATCAGGAGTGAACAGCAGTGGGGTTCACAGGGGAACCTGCAAGATTAAAGGAGCCACTGTGCAGCCCACTTCCATCGTGAATTCAGTAGGTTTGCCTTCAACAGATCAGGATTTCACCACCAGGCTTTCCAGGCTTATTTTCTCTAGGTAGAGTTTGGAAAATTCTCATTGAAATAAAAAGGAGTCTTACACTTAGAACTAAGGTACAGTTTAGTCCTTTAAGGGACTCCTGAGCCCATGAAGTAACGGGGGCTTCCTCTCAGAGGCTAGGTACCATTCAGAGTGAATAAGCAATTCAGAAGCTTCCCTTTAATGAGAAAATGTGCCTGCTATCTTTTTGCACACATATTGTTTACAAAAAACTGCCCACTTCATGAACTGCTTCATATAGACAAACTAGAATTGTGGAGGAGGGGATGGGGAGCCTTGTTCCGTATATATTATGGCATTTCACATGTACAAGCTGTGCCATCCATGTTGGAGGATGCAAGTGAATGGAGCTATTGTACAGAATGGTATGTACAATAAAAGAGAAGCTATTTTTTATTGCTTTAAAGAATCTTATTGTAATCTGGAATGTCTGAGAACTGTGCTGTAAAAATGCAGATTCAGACATATGAGCTTTTTATTTTATTTCACAGAGATTCCCAGGAGGTAGAGTATTTCTACTTTGTGGCCCATATACAGCTTTCAAAATTACCCCCCAAGTATTAAGGATTTGTTCACTCAGACAAACATAAATTAATCTGAAGGATGAAAAAATCTGCAAGCGCTCACATTTCTGCATGGAGCTGGCTTCCTTGGAGTACGGAATGCACTTTCCTGCACTTATACCTCCCAATTTTAAACATGCCAATTTAATTAAATAAACTCTATTAATAGCTTTCCATTGCCCAATTTTATTTCAATGTGTTTTAATCTCAAGAAGCTGAGACTGAACTACATGACAAAATCCCAACAGCTCATTATTACTTTACCGTCTAACAGTGAGATGCAGGCAAAGATGTTCCCTAGAGCAGTTTCTGATAACAGTGTAAGGGTGATGTAGCTGTAATGGTCCAGAAATTATGCAAGAGGCAAGACTTTCTTAGGGTGATAGATTTTATTGCACAAGCTATATAGTTGGGATAGAATTAGACAAGCTTTCAAATTCAAGGCACTTTTCTCTGTTGCGCTAAGGGAAGTCTGAAAATCTACACAAATAAAGGTTCTTTCAATTACCTGCCATTTACAAATATCATTATCATGATTTCTGAGGTCTGTTCTTATCACAATATAGCAGGATATTTTCCAGTAACATCAAGAGATCCATGCTGAAAGGATGGCATTAAATGACTTCTTGGCCATGGAGAGAAGAAGAAACCTTCACAGAGAGAAGAAATCTCTATGTTTGTATTGCTGGACTTCTCTGCAGCTATTGACCACTGCTAACCTACCTAGATATGCCAAATAGAAAGAGTACATGGCTCGTTACTTCAGTAGTGCCAATATTTCCTCTCTACCAGAACTTCAAGACGTGATGGGATGCCCTACTCTCTGAAGGCCTGTACATGCAGAGTCCCACAGGGATCCATACTGTCCCCTCTTCCCTATGTGAGATCACTGGTAAAATGAGATGTCATGGGTTTAGCTGCTAGAAGTTTGCTAGTGACGCTCTTGCCTTCACCTGATGTAATCACAGGCTCACTGCTTTTCTTGTGTGGAGCCTGCCTTCCCAG